TCACCTTGTAATAACCTGCGATAGTTGAGTCTATTAGGGTCGAAAACGTAGAAGGTTAGTTACGTCACAACAGTGGGATGACCTTACATTTGTAATATGAGTTCTAGAACAACTAGTATAAAAATCCTAAATCGATTTCTTATGTTTGCATATGTTTTGTGAATTACTTGATTTCTCGTCTTAATTGATATCTATCCCTTTACTTTATTGCTTGTTATTTGTTTCATTAAAAATCCCAAAATCCAAATAATATGTTTACTTAGCTTAATTGGAATCATATAGGTTTGTAGTGCATTCATCACTTAGTCCTCAGTGGATCGACCCCTAAGTACTATAATTGTCTTTACTGTGCACTTACAGTTTCCTAGGTTTATAAATTTAAAACTCGTATTGCATCATTAAAACCCTGCACATCAATTTTGTAGAGCTGCTGCATGACTGCCACGTGGCGGGTATTTTCTGTGTTCGTGCAGGTCGTCAGACGCAACCCAGGCATGTGTCGGATGTGAAAGACTGCACCAATCATTACTCGTCGCCTGTGTCAGACGCAACAGATCGTGTCAGATGCAACATATTATGCCAATCGTTACCCGCAGCCCATGTCAGACGCAACAGATCATGTCAGACACAACAGACTCCGCCTATCGTTACCCGTAGCCTGTGTGAGTCCGTGCCAGGCAAAGTCACATGCCACCCGCGCATGGGTGACACGTGGCATGGCCGAACTGCGCACCAGTCCGTGCCTAGTGTGACTCCATGCGCACTGCCGCAGTAGGGGAGATCCTTCCCCGCGTCCCGCCTGATCCAGACTCGACCCACGTCTAACAACATCGACCCGCCAACCGTACAATTCTAACCACGGAGAGATTTCTCGATCCAACTCATTTTCTCCGGGCACAACTTAGATTTTCCTCGACCGAAATCTATCTTGAGGCTTACTTAGTCTAGACCTATCCATTTTTTTCCCGAAGCCCAACATTTAGAAAACTGAAGGCCGCTCCGGCTAGCCTAAGGTACTTACCCAGTAATAACATTCACTCTTCCTTAAAAGAATTCGTCCCGAATTCTCTAAAGCTTAAAATGTCTTGCTTTCTCCTTCATCGATGCTTGCTTTACCACGGCTTAACGCCGTCCTGCCTCGTATCCTTTTCTCCTTAGCTGTGGTACTTCTTGTGCGTATGATGAGAGTTTCCATTCCTACACACTCACTTCTCTTCCCTTATCTCCACTTACCCTTTCCAATCTTCATGCTTCCGCAATAATTTTCCAATTGGTTGTCCTATTCCATCTCCTCCAGGTGCTCCTAACCTTCGGAGATTACTTTCGATTCTTGCTTTTCGCAACTGAATGGAATCCGTTCTTGTCCTTACATCAACGTTGCTCCCTTTTCCTCCACCTTGCCCCCAAAACTTGGTACCCGACCATGTTCTTTCTAACCGATTTCTTCTTGTCGCTTCTGCTACTTCTTCTACCATTTCCTTGATTGTTAGTTATGTCTTGGCATTAAAGAGGGTAGATTTGATTAGGACATGATTCCCTTAAGGATTTCAAAGGTCCACTAAGCCTGGACCGGGGCTTACGCTTACAGGGCCTAACTTTAGATTGCTAGAAGGCACGTTCTATTCTAAATATCTACACATTGACTTAAGCTAATAACCTAGTTTCTAGATTATTTGGAACTCGTATTCTTATGCAACACTCGATTGTCACATGCTAAGGAATGACTCAACAATACCTGAACTTAGTTAAACGCCACCACATTCACGCCCAATCCTGCCTTGATTGGGTTTTCAACATGTACCCAAGATTAACATGCTTGCTTCAGATTAAAACATGAGACTTATACTGCATACTCGAATTGAAACCTCTCTACCTTGCTCATAATAAGACATCCATTCAAACCAAAATATCCTAACACAAGGCTTGAGAAAACGTCATACATACTTAATAATAATCCACCATCATTAGGCTCAAACTTAGACAAAATCATACAGATTTTTACGGAGCACAACCATTCTATAAATCATAGCAGCTCCACACATCCAAAAATAAGTTCAGTAAAGCCGTAAACCGAAATAAATGCTTAGAGTATTTCACACACATTTAAGAGAAGAGTTCAGCACCCACTCATACCTTGCTTGGCGCCATACTAAGGCGATGGAGTTCTAGGGTTCCTACACCGAGTACATAACCTATCCCCTATGGTTGGTTGTTTAATGTCATGATCACTTGCTTGAAGGGTGGAAGGCACGTGTGTAGTGGAGGTCCTTGGATTCGGGTGAGTTACCGGGCAGGACTTCGCGTAATGGCGAGGTGCTCCGTAAGTGTAGCAGCTCACATAAGCACGCTCATTCTTTTGCCCTACGTCTTGCTGCCTTGATGGGTCCATCGCGTAGTCCCTACCCGCGTCCTGACTTGCGATGTATGCTCTAATCCCAAGGGTGTCTCTTCCCGGGGTTGGGCTAACAACGTTCGATCCTTGCCCAAAAGAAGCAACCGGGTAAGTAGCGGTGGTATATTGTGAAGTCCGCGACTGCGGCTAGTCTTGGATCAAGATACCGGGTAAGTAGCGGTGGTATATATGTACCATCTCGCAAGTTAGCAAGATACGGCTCCCTGTACCAATTCCAGCTTGCTATGGCCTCTGCAGTCCAATACTCAGGCTGCTACGACTGTTCCTGATTTTGGCTTGGTAGCGAGGGCATTGGAATTGGGGATTCCACCGGGGCTGGACTATCAGCGCGCTCAAGGGACATGGCACTGTCAGACGAAATCTCTATGTACATCGGCGAACTTGGGGCTCTATTTATAGAGAAAATTTCAGATTCTCTTGATTTTTCCGAGCTACCGCATGATTGCCATGTGGCTGGTAAGTTCTGCGTGCGTGGAGGTCGTTAGACGCAACCAAGGCGTGTGTCGGACGTGAAAGACTGCACCAATCGTTACCCGCGACCAACAGACTGTGTCAGACGCAACAGATTGTGTCAGACGCAATAGATTGTGCCAATCGTTACCCGCGGCCCGTGTCAGACGCAACAGACCATGTCAGACACAACAGAGTGCACCTATCGTTACCCGCGGCCTGTGTCAGTCCGTGCCAGGTAAAGTCAGATGTCACCCACGCATGGGTGACACATGGTAGGGCAGAACTGCGCACCAGTCTGCGCCTAGCGTAACTCCACGCGCAATGCTGCAGTGGGGAAGATCCTTCCCCGCGTTCCGCCTGATCCAGACTCGACCCGCGTCTAACAACACCGACCCAGAGCCCGCACAATTCTACCCACGGAGAGATTTCTGGACCCAACTCATTTTCTCCCGGCATAACTTAGATTTTCCTCGACCGTAGTCTATCCTAAGGCTTACTTAGTCTAGACCAGCCCATTTTTTCCAGAAGCCCAACATTTAGAAAACTCTAGGCCGCTCCGGCGAGCCTAAGGCACTTGCCGGATTATAACATTCACTTCTCCATAAAAGAATTTGTCCCAAATACTCTAAGGCGTAGAATGTCTTTCTTTCTCATTCGTCGATGCTTGCTTTGCCATGGCATAACGCCATTCCGCCTCGTATCCTTTTTTCCTTGGATGCTCTTCTTCTTGTGCGTATGATGAGTGTTTCCATTCCTCCACACTCACTTCTCTTTGCTTATCTCTACTTACCTTTTCCAATCTTCACGCTTCCGCAATAATTTTCGAATTGGTTGTCCTATTCCATCTCCTCCAGGTGCTCGCTACCCTTCAGAGATTGCTTTCAATTCTTGCTTTTCGCAACTGAATGGAATCTGCTCTTCTCCATGCGTCAACGTTGCTCCCTTTTCCTCCACCTTGCCCCCAAAACTTGGTTTCCAACCATGTTCTTTCTAACTGATTCCTTCCTTTCGCTTCCGCTACTTCATCTAGGATTTCCTTGCTTATTAGTTACGCCTTGGCATTAACGAGGGTAAGTTTGATTAGGACATGATTCCCTTAAGGACTTCAAAGGTTCACCAAGCCTGGACCGAGGTTTACGCTTACAGGGCCTAACTTTAGATTGCCAAAAGGCACGTTCTATTCTAACCATCTACACATTGACTTAAGCTAACAACCTAGTTTCTAGATTATTTGGAACTCATATTCTTACGCAATACTCGATTGTCACCCGCTAAGGAAATACTCAACAATACTTGGACTTGGTTAAACGCCACCACATCCACGCCCAATCCTGCTTTGATTGGGTTCTCAACATGTACCCAAGGTTAACATGCTTGCTTGAGAGAAAAAATGAGACTTATAATGCATACTCAAATTGAAACCTCTCTACCTTGCTCATAATAAGACATCCATTCAAACCAAAATATCATAACACAAAGCTTGAGAAAACATCATACATACTTAATAATCATCCACCATCATTAGGCTCACACTTAGACAAAACCATACAGAGTTTTACGGAGCATAACCATTCTGTATATCATAGCAGCTCCACACATCCGAAAATAAGTTCCATAAAGCCGTAAACCAAAATAAATGCTTAGAGTATTTCACACACATTTGAGAGAAGAGTTCAGCACCCACTCATACTTGCTTGGCGCCATACTAAGGCGATGGAGTTCTAGGGTTCCTACACCTAGTACATAACCTATCCCCTATGGTTGGTTGTTTCACGTCATGATCACTTGCTTGAAGGGTGGAAGGCACGTGTGTAGTGGAGGTCCTTGGATTCGTGTGAGTTACCGGGCAGGACTTCATGTAATGGCCAGGCGCTCTGCAAATGTAGCAGCTCACATAATGGGAGTCGGTTGTGTCGTTCCTTCACTCGTACCGCGTAGCATAAGCACAAGAGTAAGTCTGATGGCCATACTGTCCGCAAAGACGACACAGAGTCGCCAAGGTTGATGAAAAACCCGATCCATACAAGTAACTTCTCCTTTCTCTCGGAGTTATGTACCCTTGATCGTCACTAGAAGATCCATAGTAACCACTATCTAATTCTCTGCGAGCTGCTCCGCATCAATTGGACGACTTTGAACTAGTCCCACTTGCATACTCTCTCATTCTAGCTCGCTCATTCCTTTGCCCTGTGTCTCGCTGCCTTGATGGGTCCATCGCGTAGTCCCTACTCGCGTTCTGGCTCGTGATGTATGCTCTAATCCCAAGGGTGTCTATTCCCGGGGTTGGGCCAGCAACGTTCGAACCTTGCCTGGAAGAGGCAACCGGGTAAGTAGCGGTGGCATGTTGCGAAGTCTGCTGATGCGGCCAGTCTCGGATCACAGCGTGGCAGTATGTATCATCCCACAAAAATTAGCAAGATATGGCTCCCAATACCGGTTCCAGCTTGCTATGGCCTCTACAGTTGAATACTCAGGCTGCTGCGGCTGTTCCTGATTCTGGCTTGGTAGCGAGGGCATTGGAATTGGGGATTCCACCAAGGCTTGACTATCAGTGCACTCAAGGGACATGGCACTATAAGACGAAATCTATATGTACACTGGCGAACTTGGCCTAGAGATAGGCGCTGAACATGAATTACTCTTCCTCTAGGTTTTCCACGGGATCCTCCTCCGGATCCTCTTCCGGTTCAGTCTCCATATTCTCCTCGTGCTCATTACAGTAGGAAATCAGACCATAAGGACTTGGAGGGTGAAGCAAGATTCCATTTTCGCGTGGCAACCAAGGTTGGTTCACACAACCAGACTGTCCTGTTGCCCTGGAGCTGCAGGAGTCCTTTATCACGATTCCTGCCAAATCATCGGACAAATCCTCACTATCGGCCACGTCCACTATCTCAGACCACGGCTCACCCCTCATTGCTCTCCTTGGCGGCATTATGTACGTCTGATTGCAACAAGGGTTAGTCTTAAAAAAAATATATAT